CCTTCGTCATCAACAGCTATGGACATGCACACGTTATTGGCTGCCATGTCACAGATGATGCAAGCACAGGATACACGCATGTCAGAGATGTCATCACAGCTGTCATCTCAGATGCAAACACAGTTGTCAGATATTTCGTCGCAGCTACAAGCACAGAAGACACACGTATCACAGTTGCTGGAAGTGCAGGTTGCAAAGATTACACAACTGCAGGAGAATTTGGCTAGAGATAACGAACAAATGAAGGATAGACCGGATAAAGTCGAGGCTAAAGTAGAAGAGTTGGATGGTCGCCTCCGATATTTGCAGATGAATTGTCCAGCTACTTCAACGAGCGCTCCTAAGGTAAAAACTCCATCCTTTGACGGCACGATTCCTTTCCAGGTCTTTAAGCTCCAGTTCGAGAAGACTGCTACAGCAAATCATTGGAACATGCAGGATAAGTCCGCTGTACTATTCCTTGCATTGAAAGGACCTGCAGCGGAAATATTACAGACTATTCCCGACTGTGAAAGGGACAGTTACGATACGTTGATGAGTGCCGTGGAGAGACGTTACGGTAGCGAGCACAGGAGACAAATTTACCAGATGGAGCTGGAGAATCGCTGCCAAAAAGCCAATGAGACTCTACAAGAATTCGCTTCAGAGATCGAGAGGTTTGCTCACTTAGCTATTGGAGACGCATCTGGTGAACACCTCGAAAGGGTAAAGATCCAGAGGTTCATCAACGGAATGCGAGTCATGTATACCAAGCAAGAGACGTATGCAAAAAGCCAATATTTGCTGAAACGGTCTCGTATGCTGAGACACGTGAAACGGCGGCGCTCATAAGTAGGCCAGCCTACATAGCCCATCGCGTGGAAGTGGAAACACCGGACGAGACAAATAAAATGCTGAAGAAGATTATCCAACTGCTGGGCGAGAAAAAGCATGGCTCTGGCAAATGTTTTAAATGTGGAAAGCCAGGCCACTTCGCCAGCACAAGGCTAAGGAACTTCTCCGCAGATACTCCAACATATTCCACAAGGACGGCAACAAACCAGGCAGGACTAATGTGACACATCATTGATACTGGGGATGCAAGGCCGATCCGTCAAGCTCCTCGGAGTGATACACTTACCAAACGTGAAGCTGTAAGCCAAATAATAAAAGAAATGACCGAGAGTGGTGTTATTGAACCATCAGCGAGTCCATGGAGCTCGGTAGTACTTGTGAAGAAGAAGGATAGTCAAATGCGGTTCTGCGTAGACTACCGGAAACTAAACGATGTGACGAAAAAGGACAGATATCCTCCTCCCAGGATCGATGACACTCTGGACTCGTTGACTGGAACAAAGTGGTTCTCAACACTCGACCTTAAGAGCGGTTAGTGGCAAGTGGAGGTAAGTGACGAAGACAAGGAGAAGACAGGTTTCAGCGTTGTAAACGGTCTTGCAATTCACGGTGATGCCCTTTGCATTATGCAACGCTCCTGCCACTTTTGAAAGACTTATGACCATTGTGGTGACAACGGAGGGCGTATTTACTGCGAAGGAAAAGATAGAAGCAGTAAAGGATTGGCCAAGACCTAGGAACCTGCACGAACTACAAAGTTTTCTTGGGCTATGTACCTACTATCGCCGATTTGTTCCGAATTTCGCCAGCGTTGCTAATAGCATCCACGAGCTCACTAGCAAAAATAGAGCCTTCGAGTGGAACAAGAAGCAGGAGGAGGCTTTCTAAACTCTGATGGAACGGCTATGTACTGCACCTATGCTAGCGTATCCCATTCCAGGTGCAACGTTTATTTTGGATACGGATGCTAGTGGTTATGCCATAGGAGGCGTAATTTCGCAGGTAATTGATGGGCAGGAGAAGGTAGTTGCCTACTATAGCCGGTCGATTAGAAAACTAGAGAGGAACTACTGCGTAACTAGGAGAGAACTTCTAACGTTGGTGGAGTGCGTCAAACATTTCCACAAGTATCTCTATGGGCAACGTTTCCGAGTTCGAATGGGCCATGCAGCGCTGAAGTGGCTGCTACAGTTTAAGAATCCAGAAGGACAACTAGCTCGGTGGATTGAGAGACTGCAAAGTTATGACTTCGCCATTGAGCACCGCAAGGGAAGTGTCCATGGAAATGCTGATGCCATGTCCCGTCGACCATGTAGCCTGGAATGTAAACACTGCGCAAAGGCTGAGGGCAAAGAGGGCATTATAGACGTCCGGCTAACGACAATAACACCAGCGGAAGAGTGGAAGGCAGAACAGCTACGAAAGTGTCAGCAGGAAGATCCAGATCTGGAGCTTTTGATGCATGGACTAGTGGTAGACAGAAGGCCAACTAAGACGCAAATAGAAGCGGAAAGCCCCATCGCAAAGGCATACTGGGCACAATGGAGCAGCTTTAAGTTGATATCTGGCTGTTTGCACAGGGTATGGGAAAGAGAAGATGGGCAGTGCTCCCGCAACCTAATAGTAGTTCCAAGGGTAAGAGTTCCAGACGTTCTCAAGGAGTTCCACAATGTTCCTAGTGGAGGGAACTTGGGAATCACAAAGACCCTGGAGAAGATCAAGCAGAGGTTCTATTGGGTTGGTTGTCGGCAATCGGTCGCAGAGTGGATTGCTAACTGCGCGGAGTGTATTGCAGCTAAAGGACCGAAATCTAGAAGTCATGGCCAGATGAAGCAGCATAATTTAGGTGCACCATTCGAGCGTATTGCCATGGATGTAGCCGGTCCATTTCCTATGAGCTTACAGGGAAACAAATATGTCCTTGTGGTTATGGACTACTTTAGCAAATGGCCGGAGGTATACCCGATTCCAAACCAGGAAGCTAAAACAGTAGCGGAGGTATTCACCTACAATTGGGTTGCGAGATACGGTGTACCTATAGAGCTGCACTCTGACCAGGGAAGAAATTTTGAATCGGCGGTGTTCCAAGAGATGTGCCCGTTACTGGGTATCCGAAAAACTCGAATAACGGCTCTTCATCCCCAATCAGATAGCATGGTGGAACGGTTCAACCGAACCCTGGAAGAGCATTAGCGGAAGGTCGTGGACAAGAATCAAAAAGATTGGGATGTCCGCATACCCTTGTTCCTGATGGGATACCGGTCAGCAGTGCATGAAACAACGGGTAAAACTCCTGCAAGGGTAATATTCGGCAGTGAGCTCCGTTTTCCTAGTGGCCTGAAGTTTGGGGTAACTGGTGATGCTAGAAGAATTTGAAAAGAGACGTCAAACATCCTGGAAGAGGAGCTGAGAAAGATGCATGCTCTCGTGAGACAACGCACGCAAATTATGAGTGACAAGATGAAAGCCAGGTATGATAAGGCGATGAATTCCGAGGGTTTCCAGGAAGGAGATTTGGTGTTGCTGTACAATCCACAACGAAAGAAAGGTTTGTCCCCAAAACTACAATGCAACTGGGAAGGTCCGTATAAGGTCTTAAAACGGCTAAATGACGTAGTGTATCGGATCCAGACCGTTAGGAGACCAAGAAACAAGATGAAGGTGGTCCACTTGGAAAGGCTTGCAGCGTTTGGAACCGCAAGTGTGTCTGATCGGGACGATCAGACTTAGGTGGAGGGCAGTGTGGCGAATACTGCGGCAACACAAAGCGAACAACGAGAAATAGGCAGAATGTTCGAAGAATGACGTAGAATGTTCCACAAAGAGAAACGTCAAGTTGGATGAACACTGCGAANACAAGAAATAGTCAGAATGTTCGAGGAATGAAGTAGAATGTTACACAAAGAGAAACGTCAAGTTGGATGAACACTGCGAACAGCGAGAGAAAGAGAATGAGCGAACATTCTAGAGTTGCCATGAGTGCGAGCGCAGGTATATAAGAGCCACCAAACAGCGGAGTGAGTAGTTACAATTCAGCAAGCTACAAGTAAAGTGAGTTGCAAATAAGCAAGCTATAAGTTTAATTGTGGTTACAAGTTTTGTAAAGCGTCGTAATTTTTACTGTATTAGCGAGTATTGTAAAGTGTTGGTTGTACAATAAAGTTAATTGTACTTCAATTTGGGCATCGTGAGCATTTATTTAACAATCCAGCAGTACGAGCCGTAAGATATTTGGGAAATCCCTCAAGGTTTCAAGGATAATCGTAACAATGGCGCGTATTCATAGTCCAGCAACTAAGTCGAAACTAACAAAGTTGCAACTTAAATTTAAGTACCAACTTAAAATTTGCCTCTATTCATAGTCGCATTTCAGACCTCTACTAAGTAGTTTCGACTTAGTTTACGGTATAACAAAATGAGTGTGAAAATGTATTTATTTTTCTTTACGATATTTTGGAAAAATTAAATTTTTATTAAATAATGTCAAGTTTGATCATCCGTTTATGTAATTTTTATTTTCATTGCATGATTATGCAAAAGAATAAGGTATCGTTTTCTTGTTAATTGTGTGAAATAGCCAGAACAATCGCAGTGATGTGAAGTCGATGTTTATCGAAAGCATGGTGTGAAACATACAAATAGTAGATATCTAAATGTTATGCACAAATTTACTTTAAAAGAACTAGCGTGAAACTGACTTATTATTTGAGAATTTATCTAAATTATTCCAATTATAAATTGGTGATTTAGCTTTATTCGAAATGTAATACGCATTTAATTTCTTCTTCCGAATAAAATGGATCGATCTTTGTAAATTTTAATTGGAGATTATTCAATATTATCAAAATCACCCTCTACCAACTTAATTTACATATTTCGTCTGTTGTCCCTTAATTTGATAAAATACTTCTTCCCAGTTACGACTTATTTGCAGCTGCAGCCGAAACTAAATTTTAAGTTGGTACTTAGCCAGAAAACTCGAAACTTAAGGTGCTGGCCCAATGCAAGCTGGCTTCGCTTGACTTGATTTGCTTTAAAAGTTTCTATGACCAAATGGGGACTTTGAACGCTGTCATAACAATCAGCTGATTTGTAAAAGAAACAAAAGAAACAGAGATGTTAACTAGAAGAAGTGAAAATATTTTGCGAATTTTTCTTTTAATAGTAAAAATGTTTAAAATAAAACGCAAATCACGCCAACGACGGAGGTTTTGGGTGCGAAAATTATATTTAGATCGACAAAATCATGGGTTGTTTGAAAGTGCTTTGCGCAACCTTGCAAGGGACGAGGAGCAATTCAAGAAATCATTACGAATGCCCCTTTCACTGTTCAACGTATTGCACGAATTGCTGGAGAATTCATTAAAAAAACATTCAATCAGGACTCCAATATCTTCCCAATGCAGATTATTTATAACACTATTGTAAGTAAACTACAGTTTTATAGTGTTTTCGTTATTTCACGTTCTCTTGTCACTTGGTAGATATTTGGCTCACGGTGGTACCCGACAATTTCATACGCTCGTACATAGAATGGGATTAACCACATTCAGAAGAATAACACTTGAAACAAGTGAGGTAATATGGAATTCGCTGTCAGAACTTTATGTAACGACACCTACCGAAACGGAGTGGATACGTATTGCAAATGAATTTAAATTAATGTGGAATATGCCCAACTGCATCGGCGCCATAGATGGAAAGCACATCAACATAACTTGCCCTTCGAACTCAGGTTCGATGTTTTATAATTATAAAGGCAATTACAGTATCGTACTTATGGCAATATGTGACGCCAACTATACGTTTACATGTGTTGATATTGGGGCATACGGCAGCCAAAGCGATGGCGGTATTTTCCAATTTTCGAAAATTTCGGAAGCTATCGAAAATAACTCTCTCAATATTCCGAAAGACTGTCCATTACCGGGAGAATTGGAGCCATTCCCCCACTATATAGTTGGTGACGCAGCATTTCCTCTGCGTCGGTATTTAATGAGGCCTTACCCGGGTAGAGCTATACAACCGGAGCAGGAATATTTTAATAAAAGGCTTTCTCGTGCACGTAGAATAATAGAGAATGCCTTTGGAATACTTACTGCAAAATGGAGGATCCTTCGAACTACTCTGTGCATGGCTCCAAATAATGCGGAAAAAGTAGTGAAAGCGTGCATAGTTCTACATAATTTTTTAAAATTATCAACTCATAACTATGTGAGTAGTGATTTCGTTGATAGTTATGAAGATGATACCACGATCGATGGAGCATGGCGTAGGGAGACTCTGCCCTTACCATCAATTAGTCAAGTTTCATCGAATAGATGCAGTGCAGCAAACTATGATTTAAGAGATAAATTAAAAACACATTTGTTCAATAACAAAATTTAATACTTCATGTTTTTTTTTAATTAACTTTCTCATTAATTTGAAATAAAATTAAATTAATTCAATCAATTAACTTAAATAAAAAGAAAACACATTCAATATTACTTATGTAAAGAGCAGGGTAAGTAATATTTTTGTATATTTTTATAATAAAATAATTTTGTCCGACTGCATTCTTTACACTATACCATGATACAAAAATTTGAAGGTAAAACCGCTGAGAGGCAGGCTGAACATTTTTGAAGTTTGTTAACATAATTTAAATTTTTTAAAGTAGACAAACTTCAAAAAATAAATGATGGCCGACGAATCGAGCGAGTGATTTTATCTTTAAATATTTGCATGATGCATTACACCTTGCGACTGTAAATTTTACACACAAAAAAAGACTTGAAAGGACTTTGAAATTTCAAAAATATGAATAATTCAAATTTTTTGGTATTCTTGTACGGTGTTATAAAGTTATTTTATATTTTTATAACATAACAGTTTAAATCACTTTCGCTTTAAAATAAACACAGTTTGGACAAACGTAAAACAGCGGTCATTATAATAGCAGTGTGATATACTGACAATTCATTTGTTTTTAATTTAATTAAAATTTTTATTTTTTTTTAAAATATAGTTCATTTTATAGCAAAAACCACTTAATCATAATAAAACTGAATGGTTTTTTTCAATTTAACATTAAATGTTTTATTTTTTAAAAATATAGTTCATTATATAACAAAACCATATACACTTGTGGTCAGCTGATTAAGTTAAGTGACATTTTTACCAGTTTTGGCTATTTTTCCTTTGTTTATTTAATGTTTATATTTTTTTATAAAAGTCTAGCATATTACATAACCAGACAAATATAAATCCATATTTCATACAAAAATTATAAAAATTCAACAAACTTTAAGTACATCCAAAAATTTTAAACCTTCTGTTTTTATAAAACTGCATACTTAAAATTTTTCTAAAAATTCTGAATAAAAAGTTTAAATTTTTTGGCTGTAATAGTTAAAGTTTGTTGAATTTTTATCATTTTTGTACGAAGTTTCGAATGTGGATTTATATTGGTCTGGTTATGTAATATGCTAGACTTTTATAAAAAAATATAAACATTAAATAAACAAAGGAAAAATAGCCAAAACTAGTAAAAATGTCACTTAACTTAATCAGCTGACCACAAGTGTATTTGGTTTTGTTATATAATGAACAACATTTTTATAAGAACAATTAAAATTAAATTTGAAAACTAATTATCAAGACTAGTGATAATATTATTTTGACCGCTGTTCATGTACATATATTACGTAAAATTTAAAACATAAAAAGTGTAGTTCATTTGTACTTTAAAAGTATCACAGTGTGGTTTCTGAAATGGCTAAAAAGTCTCACTGTCTCTTATTTTTATACAATAGTAGATGTTGATGTCTCATATGCGCAACCTCAATGGGTTTCAACTTTGTTATGCATATTAGACATTTTCATCTACTATAGCATAGATATAAGAGAGACTGATGCTTTTTTTATGCATTTCCGAATGAGCCCGCAGTTGACATTTTGCATAAAACTTAAAAATAAAATTTCAAAATTCTTAAATTTACTCATTCACAAACGTATTAATTTTGATTTTAGGCGTTTGAATTTTCGTTTAAACATTTAAATTTTTCATGGACATACTGGAGGACGTCCATCTTAAAATCAATTTGCTGATCTTGGGAAACTTTTTCGAAAATATCCCCAATGGCACCCAAGATATTGTCGTAAGGTTTTTGGATTTTCAAAAATCCACTTACATCTTCAACTAATGAATTCAAGCTGCTGTCCTGATCTTCATTTCGCTTCTTACGTTTAGGAGGAACAGGTTCCGAGTCTTCTGTTTGACTATTTAAAACTAAATTGCCACTTTCGTTGAAGTCAAACGCAAATGAAGACCCAGAGTCTTCTATTTCGGTAGTAATGTTGGTGGTTGTGCTATAAAAATCTAAGTGTAAGCGCAATGGTTTCCATATTTTTAAACGTACATTTACTTACTTTCTGGGTGCAACAGTTCCTTTTAAAAAAGACAGAGTATCAAAATAAGCCCAGTTCTTCCTGAACGAAGTAGCACTTCCACTTGGCTGGTGCTGCAACTTCAACTCAATAGTAAAGCGGTCACGCAAGGATTTCCACCGTTTGCGGCAGTCAGCCTCTTTAAATGGAAAATGTGTGCAGGTATATACAATTAGTTATATTACATGCATGTATCATGATTTTTGGTACTTACCAGATTCCCCAACAACAGCAGACACATCGCGCCAGGCCATGTCTTTTTTGTTTTTATCCCTGTAACACAACTGGCTTTTGTCCCAGATACACCGGTGCTTTTCAATTGCATTTATTAAATTTGCTTCGAACATTTCTGCAGAAAAACTTAAAATCAAATTAAATATCCTCAGTCGCTCGAAATTCGTAAATGAAGCTATAAACCAAATCAAAACAAATGAACAGCAGGGATGTTACAATTTCCATTGTCAAAAGCGCTGTCAAATAGAACATTTAGCTATTTGAAACTTCGCCGTACTTCAAGTGCTTGAAGCAAAGCTGCCATTTGTTCTAGTTTCATACATTTTAGTATTGTTCCAATTATTTTTGACAGTGATCGAAGCAAAGCAAGCAAAGCCAGCTTGCATTGGGCCAGCACCTTAAGGCGACTACGAATAGCTTTAGTTGTGACTTAGAATAGTTTCGACTTAGTTGAGTACTAAATATGACTATGAATATGCTCGAGCCCCCCTAACTTTCAAATTTTCCTTATATATATATATATAAAATAGTACCCTGAAATGCCAGCTTAATAGGGTCGAGCGCCCCCCCTAAACTTCATTCTGGCTACGCCGATGAACTACTTAGTAGTAGTCTGAAATGCGACTATGAATAAAAGTGAATTTTAAGTTTGTACTTAAATTTAAGTTGCAACTTTATTAGTTTCGACTTAGTGGCTGGGCTATGAATACGCGCCATAGATATTTTTTAAAAATGAATGGTAAATGTCATTAGGTTTATTCGTTGATGTGGAACGTAATCATTAAAATTCACTACTGGCACGCGGCCATTACATAAGTTTTCTGTATTTGCATGTGTACATGCCACTTTTTACATATGGAAATGCCAACATATCGTGTAAGGGCAAATTAGATTTGAAAAAACTAAAAACTTATATATTTTATTAATTAAAATGTAAACAATTTTGGTGTGCTCAACGCAAAATTCACCCGCTGATGTGCGGTATTGCCACTCAATCTGAATGGAAAAAATATTGAATAGGTTTACACGGAGTACAGACTGTTATGTGGGATAATTAATTGTGGAAATAACTAAAGAGTTAAAAATTCTCGTTATATATCGAAATATCGATAGGATATCGCGCATTTTTTTATTACAAATTTTCATTATATATGGAAGTATCGATTTTTATTGAAAAAAGCCCCGCAGCCGAAAATTTGTAATAAAAAATCGTGCGGCGCTTTTTTCAATAAAAATCGATACTTCGATATATAGTGAAAGTTTGTAATCAAAAATCCCGCGATATCCTATAGAATTCCAAATTATGAAACAATGTTGCATTGCATTATAAACCACATTCTTAAAGGCACGCGGAAATAGTTGGTAGGTGTAGACGTTGGGTAATTGTATTAATTCGGATTGCTAGAGAGTGGTTTGACATATGTGGCTAAAATGAAGTATTGTTGTTGTATGTATGGTGAAACATGGGCGATTCGTACGTTTGTGTGTGAATAAAAAAAGGTGCTATTGTGAAAAAGTTTTTTCTTAATAACTATTAATCGGGTAAAAAAAATTAATTTCCGCTTTCGGATTCTTGTTACTGGGGTCCAGTCGCGTCTAATGGTATCCCCTTTCCTAAATTTTGATAAATTTTAGAGGTTGAAAGCCCACCTAGATAATTACCCCCAACGCAATTCCAAGAGTCACCTACTAATGTAAATTTTACTTCTAAAAGGAGCTAGTTGAACGGAGTTCCAAAGAAGTGAGTCCCCGCTGTATTAATATTGTAAGTCAATTGCTTCATGTAATAGTAGATACCCCTTTATTAGTAATATCGATAGTGATAAGTGATAAGTGATAGTGTCGGCAGCATAGCTGTTTGATGCTTCCATTCATGCGTATGCAGCAAACGAAGGTTGGGATATGTGGCATACATATCGTTGCCTGGATAAAAGGTTGTCGTATGTTACGCACGTACGTATGACGCTTACGACAATCTTTTACCCAGGCGACGATATGTACGTAGATAGGTTGCTAAGCTACCCAGTAGAAATGGAATGTATGCTGTATGAGTGAATTAGTGTGAACAATTCATGTTTGATCATGAATTTCCACAAATAAAGTCAATTTCTATCGAACTGCAAGCGAACGTACGTTGTTGTTGTTTTAAGTACATAAATTTGACTACTATGCAGCAGTGAAATTTTTGTAATATTTTCATTCTTGTGCACAAATTTTAATGAACAGAAGTGTTTTATGCGATAATATTTGCAGCACTAACGGGCTTTTGCATACGTAACAGATACGAATGCTTTAATACTTTTCCATTAATGCATTTTTGTATGTTTGAAACATTAATACAGCCATATGTATTCAGCAGTAGTACAAGTTTATTGTTAGAGTACATATACGCTCTAAGAAACCACACGTGTTAAATGCAAATTTAGGTTCATTTATAATGGCATGCATACACAGCACCAAGTTCATGCCACCAACATCGATG